GTTTGGTGTTTTGTTTGGGTTGTAGATATGCTTTATCAGATTGAGAATGTTCCCTTCTCATTTTGTTTAGAGTTTTTACCACAAACGGAGGCCGAATTTTATCAACTGAGTTACCATATAGTTTTTTTTCTCCTTTATTCTGAGACAATGATGCCTAAATTGATTTTAAAATGTTAACCTTGTATTCCTGAAGTAAACCCGGTTTGGTCATGATGCACAATTCTTTCCCTGCATCACTAGATGCAATTTGTGGACATCTTTAGAATTTTCACATCTATGTTCATTAAGGATATTGGCCTATAATTTTCCTTTGCTATAATGTGACAGATTTGGTATCAAAGTTGTTAACTTCCTAAAACAAGTTTGTAGGTGATCCCTTCTTTCTCTATGTCATGGTAGATCAGTGTTATTTCTTCCTTTAATATTTAAAGTAATTTTCCAATAAAACCACTTGAAGTTTTCTTTGTGGAAATACCTTTAAAAAAAACAGCTTTATTGGGGCAACTGAGTGGCTCAGGGGGTTGTCTGACTTCGGCTCAGGTCATGATCTCACGGTTTGTGAGTTTGAGCCCCGCATCGGGTTCTGTGCTGACAGCTCAGAGCCTGGAGCCTGCTCCAGATTCTGTGTCTCCCTCTCTCTCTCTCTCCCCTTCCCCTCCCCCACTGGCGCTCTGTCTCCATCTCTCCCTCTCTCAAAACTGAATAAACATTTTTTAAAAAGAGCTTTATTGAGATATGGGAATAAATGATCTCTAACATCCTCATTTTACCCATTTTAATATTAGAATGTAGTTTATTCATTTATAAAACAAAATCTCCTGGTGTAAATGAGACAAACACCTATCTACTATTCGGTTCAATGGAACATACCAGTGCTTTTGATGTACCCATCCTTGATACAACCCCCCTCCCCCCTTTCCTAAGAAGTACCCATTGTACTGAACTTTGGGTTTGTCATTTCCTTAATTTACAATTTTTATCACGTCTCTTGGTATCCCTAAACAAGAAATTGTTTCATTTATAGGCATTTAAACTTCTATCACTTTGTCTGTTCGAGCTCCCCTGCAACTTGTTTTTTCCTCTCAAACTTCACGGTTGTAAACAGTAACCAAGTTGATGTGGGAAGCTATATTGAAAGACCCATTTCTGGTTCCAAAGTTCTGTGCTTCAGGTTCCTCCACTATAGCGACTTTAACCGAATCTTCTCTCAATACTCTTCCAGATCTGGGATTCTAATTTTACTTTTTACAATGAGTACAGAGGTGTATAGTTTGCTCTAACACTATAGCACTGGTCTGGTTTATTTGAGGCTGACTCTTTGATCAGGAATACAGTCCCCAGGGGAAGTGGGTCACGGTATCATTTTCAGACATTGTGGTAATATTGGAAGATTCCTTGAACAGAAAACTTTGGTATACAAGACAAGTTGTTTTAATACCAGGTTTGAGGTGGCACGCGGCAATGATCAGAAAAGACAGAATTCACAATGCAAAAATGCAAAGTTTATTTTCTTAAATAAAATACTATATTCATATCTATACAAATAATTATTACAACCATTAAAATGTTACATTTACCAATAAAAATTTCAAAACTTTAAACAAGAGCATGGTTCAGAATATTCACACCCTAATACAATGCATTTGTAAAAAGATGTCAAAATAAACAGGACCTATTCTTATTTACAACAGGGAGGACAATCCTGATCATATTATACATATCTGCTCTGGATTCCATTACAAAACAAATTAGTTCCCATTAGTATTATAAACCAGGTGATTTACAGTAATAGGACACAGTACACAGCAGACATCGCTGGCATGGGAATAGATACAAATATTACACTATTGAAAGACTACAGTTAGGTTTTTCTGACGACTGCCCTACAGTAAGCCTCTCACCCAGTGTATCTATAAATAATTTGTGAAGGTAATTATGTCTTCCGATTTTCCACCTATTTTTACCAAAATGAATATATATATATATATATATATATATATATATATATAGCCTGCTGAAAGTGGAAGCAAATCTTTTCTTCACAGTAACACAACTGCAGCATCTTAAGCAACACTGTCTGGTCCCTTTCTTCTTGGAAGATCAACAGTTTAACTCCCTTAAAGGTTACCAATATAGTCAAGTCCAGTGCCTCGATGACCTCACAGATGAAAATGGTTTTAAGACTTGAGGGATGGGGGTAAAGAGATCCAGAGAAGTGAAGAAGGAGTTAGATGGAGCAAGCTGTAAGTTCCTAGGACATCATATGGTGTCAAGCTGTATACACAACTGAGCCAAAAAAATAAATAAAACCCCACAACTTATGATCATCTTCTTTAAAAGTGTTAAGTTACAAATGAAGAGTTGTCTTCTATGTCTCATGAGATCTCTAGTGACAGATTATGCAGATTATCATCCAAAATAACACCAATTTGAATATTATATCCACTTTCAACCCAAGTTGGCTCATGTTTATGAAGCATCTGAACACATGCGTGCACCAGACCCCTGCAGTGGATAGGGTTTGTGCAAATACAGAAACAAGGATGTTGAATGACCACCACCTACAAGCTCTGAGTTTAAAAGGAGTTTTGCTTCTAGTACACTTTTTACAAGATCGGCATCAAAGATGGCTCAGAGAATGATAAGGCAACAGTGAGAAACATCAGCTGTTCTTGTCTTCTAGGTGTTTGACTACACAGCACGTACCATTCCAACTGGTCCTTTGCTATGTAACACAGGAGTGGGTAATATGTTCCAATGGCTGGTCTTAGGACCAGAGGCACAGTTTCAAGTAAAGTGCAGTACCAGGATAGAGGCATGTGGGCAGAACTAGAAGCTCTGTGTCCAAGAAGGGCCTCATGCTGGACTGCCCCGATCCAAACTTGGTGTCCCCCACAGACTCCGGTAAAAACACTGTCAAGCTCACACAGGAAGGTGTAGAATGCAGACAAAATATGGTTAAGTCAAAAAAAGAAAAGGACCCTTTTCTGTTCATAGCATTTGGCCAAAAAAAGGTAGTTCAAGAAGGAATGAGTTTCTGGCCTTTAACTTGCATATAGGTATCATAAAATCATCACTCACAGATTAACTTCACACTAGTTTATTTGGCTATTATTATTGCCCTCTGGATATACACAGCCATAGGCAATTAGCTCCAGGCAAAGGCAGAATTTATACAGACAACAGAAGTACGACCTCCAGGTTCCTAAAGTATCAACCCAAAGCCATCTGATTTGGGTCCCACCTTTGAGCTTTCTAAACTCCTCCATGAGGAAAAGCAAAAACAAACACAAAGCAAGCTCATCAAAACAAGGAAGAGAACTAACTGTATGGCACATTCAGTATCTTAAATTAATTCTGAACTAACTTTGTTTCAAGAAATTCTTGTTACCTCTTGACAGAATAGGAGATACAGTGGTTCCCAAAGCCAGGAACTGGGACTCACTCACTGATATAGGAGCATGACTCACTGTCACACAATGATCCAATAGATGGGTGGGCCCAATAAACATTTCAAGGCAGAGAAGTAATCATCCTAAGGAAATGAGCAGGTTCCCTGCCACCTGCTGACTCGCAGCAGATGGAAGAAAAGAGGAGCCTCGGTACCTATCTATCAAAGGGAGGACAAAGCTGAGAAGATGCTTATTAGTGAGTCTTTATCCTTTCTCAAAATTTTACAACCTTACCTCCCTTAAAACACGTTTCCACATTTTTGGGGGGTATAAATTTCAGCCTTTCCATGATATGGATAATGTTAGAAGGCAAGAGCAAGGCAAATGAATTATCTTTAGAATGTTTAAATAATTTTGTATTTTAAGAAGGCTGATTTTTAAAAATGGATCTTTATTGCAGTTCACCCTGATACGTAAATGGAAATTGCTGCAAAAGAATATTCCCTCCTCGTTCTTCTCTTTCCACAGTTCTAATACGTTAAATTTTATAAAGCATGATCACTGGGGGATGTGGCTCCTTACTTAGAAAAAAGATGCCATCCATGGTCCCCCCAAAAGGTCTTATGATATAAACAAAAATAAATTTCCTGAAGTGGTATAAAATATCCCAAAAAGAGAAATGACATCAAACTTGATTTCTTTTATCCATGATTGACATATTAGAAGTTTATACAGGATGAAGTATCTGAAATTTTTTCACTTCATTAGAAGTTACTGTGTTAAATGGTCAGAGTCAACTACTTTCTCTAATTGATTCTATGTGATCAGTAACACTAAAAGAGAGAAAAAACAATTTAATTAATGACTCTCATTTATGATTCATAGGTTTGTATGTTTGTGTATTTTCATAAATTACAAAATTATCTGTGGAAATGGTTTTACATTCTATAGTCATATATGAGCAAGCCAAGAATAACATTAAAGTTTACTATTTGACTGTTTTCTGCAGTACCTTTGCCAAAAATTATATCCAGAGATTGCTAGATATTAAATAAAATTCCTCCCCAAAATCATTTAGCTCTAATTATCAAATAATATACTGCTGATAAATCTTGTACACTCATGCTTTTAAATCAAATAAGATTACTCTTCTCTGAACACTTTCAGAACTGAGTCCATATATACAATGATCTCTTACATATATATGCACATGTCTGTAAGATAATTAGAGCTACATGTAAGCAGGAGCCAAATTATTTGCAGAGAGTCATATCTTTCTTCAGAGGGTCAAATAAGCCTTACTTAGGGGTAGGGGTTCATTTGAGATCAAAGTACATTCTTGGAATGAAAGCTCTGAAACATGTAATCGCTATCTCTGAACAGGGCTGAGCAGAAAAATAAAATCAATGCAACAGAGAAATATCTGAAAGTGCCAGGCTTTGAGGCCTTTCTATTGCAATGTTCAAATTGATCTTCTCCTTAGCCTGTTACCTTCATTCTATCTAACAGTGCCCAGTTCTTCAGGACTCAATAGCCACCACGCTGTGCGTGCGTGCGTGCATGCGTGTGTGTGTGTGTCAGAGACAGAGAGACAGAGAGACGAAGATTGAACACTACCTTTCTTGAAATTGGCAGGCTGGACCTTTCAAGTACAGAGAAAAACTTGAATGTTACAACCTAAAACTCAGTTAAAAACAAGCCATAAATCTTATGTTTCCCCTCAATTAAAAGTTTTAACTACTTTGTCTATCTGTTGTCTTATTTAAGTAACTCCTATTCTTCCCCATGAGTATTTTGAAGGAGAAAATACAGAAGTTTTTCTTGTTTACATTTTTTTTTTCTTGCTCCCAGGAGGCTGCTTCAGTCAGCAGCAGGAGGAGGGAGGAAAGTTTGGTAAGAACAGTTCAAGAGGCACACGTGACCCTTCCACTGAGTCTTCACAAGAGGTATTCGCCAGAGTTAACAGCTCTGACCCAGCCTGAGGAGGCATTTTTAAGGAGGAAAAAATAAAATGCTGGCTCTTGGGTTTACTTTATTAACAGAGCAGACAGAACCATGTTATATGTATCTCTCCCACTTGATCCTATATTTGGCAGAATATAACAACAACAAAAAGTAATAGGTTTGAGAATATGAGTATATACGGTTGTTTTCAGAGGTTTTTTTTTTTAAGTTTTCAAAATTCAATATATGAGTGTGTGTGTGTGTGTGTGTGTGTGTGTGTGTGTGTGTATACATAATTAACTTCTGGGGGGCTTTTAAAAACCCTAACATCCAGTTTTCCAATACTTCAGCAGGTCTCAGGTCTCAATTTCCATTTCCAGATGGCAGGCCAATTTTTAAAGGACCAGTTTATATTTTCAAATCTATGTCTGTGTTCTGTCCCCCTTCTCCCCCTCCCCCCACACACTCACACACAGAGACATATACAGAGACAATTTTTTGAAGCACCATTTCACATCTACCATCAGGAAAAATAATGAACAAATTCGTCTTCTCATTACAATTCTACTATGCGGGGTAATAATGTAACATACAATGCCATCTTTTAAATATAAATATCAATAAATGAAAACACTGACAGAGCTTAAGACTCTGCTCAGAAATATTTAAAAAGTAAGGCTCATATAACTGTGTAAATTCCAAACACACTATTTACTGAGCAGTCCCTAATGATTAACAAATATAAAAGAAAGCATTTCGAGCTCACATAAATAGAATGAAGAAAATGTTGAAAACAAAGTTCAACCAATGAAGCAACAATCTTTGCCAAAACACATGTAAAATTCTGCAATACAACTGCTTTTATCCTTAGGACCTGATGCAAAAATGCAAGCACAAAATGGACAAAGTCTATGTACTTTGCTTTTCAGATTGCTATTTTTAAGGCTAAGTAAGGAAGACCTTTGCTTTCCAGGATCTTGGCACACTGAAAGATAACATGGCTCCCTAATTTGAAGAATGAGACATTAAAATTCAGATAGCTTAGGCATTGTTATCATTAAGAAAGAAGCCTCTACCTACAGCAAACCTTGGGAGTAAAGGCTGATCGAGCAACTCATTTATTTGCTAACTGCTTGATTTGAACCATGGACATTCATTCTACATTAATTCAACACCTGCCGGGGGCAAGAAACTGTTCTAGATGCTGTCATCAGCCAAGCACTTGGTGATGAGCCACTGCGTTATATCAAAAGTGTCTATTTTTGGAGAGCAACTCAAATACCTCAAGTTATCTATTTGACAAATGATCAGCAATCAAATTTAAAATCTAGGTTCTTTCCTACTACCCCACACACGCCAAAGGGATTTTCCCCCAACTTCCAGCTGGTAAGTATTTAGGGAATATAAGATTACAAATCAAACTTGAAAATGCAACTCCGCATGAAAAACTTAAAAAGCACACCGTGCAGTTAAAAATGAAAGATAGTTTGTTGCTGGCAACCCAGTATTCGCATCATCTCTGAAGTGGCTTCCCTACATTCGGAAGATAACTGGAAACTGATTACACAAACACAAAGACATACACACACACACACACACCACCTCCCTCACCATGTGCATTATGTGTGCATGCACACACAAACACATTTGTAATCTCACCCGATACATTTACATTTAGTCTATCAGTATTTAAACAGCTGAACTGCAGTCATGACCTAAAATATGGCTTATGTTGTGGGCAGGTCTGTTTGAGGACTGCTTGGAAGAGTCAGAGGCAGAGGAGTTTGCTATTGTAAGCAAAGGTGACATTGCCGAGCCATCGGGAAGAGCTGTAGCTATTTCTGGAAACAAAGATGTCATATTAAAGTTAGACAAGTGAGAATTGGTCATGTGCATTGGCGGCATGTCAGGGAGCAGAGGAAAACTTGGTTGAGCAAAACCAACAGGTCTAGGAGGAGACAGAATTGATCCAAATCGGTTATTTAAGCTTCCACTGTTTACTTTCTCAGTGCTAGGATTTGAGAACATTTGATTAGAAAAATAGGGGATGGAAATATCATTAGACAGCGTAGGATGAGCAGGGGAGTAGGGGGGATAGAAGGAGGGCAGAGTATTTTGGGGATCTACAGGGATAAGAGCTGGCGTTCGAGTGGCACTAGGCTGAGTAACCTGTGGAATGAAAGAAGTATTAGCATTTATTGGTGGATTCATGCCACCCTCGGGAATAAAAGGAAAACCGAAATTTTGTGATAGTGTATGCTGGTCAGGCGCTGAGTTATCATTAGGTACTTGTGGGCTATCGGGCATGAAACGAACAATACTTCCTCTCTTCTCTGTAGCGGCTTGTTGGCGTCCAAGAATCATACTGCCACTAGTGGACAGAGGAAGATGGGGAAGACTTGGGTCAAAGACATTACTATGTCTTTGGTTTCCGGAACGATTCCTTTCAGGTTGACGAATTTTGGAACCACTGCTGTCTTGCAAGGGATGCCTTGATCGCTGGGGAACTGAAGAGTTAGTTGGACGTACAGGAGGCCCTTGTTCAGCATTTCCATGAGACACAGACGGATGGGGCAAAGCTGGCCTTGCAACCCCATGCATGTTGGTTGTGACCGGAGGGTTCATGTGGCCCTTGGTCCCATGACTATCAGTTATCCTCATGGGATTGGACTTCTGTACAGACACATTGGGACTTGTGTTTCGACCCTGAATATCTCCTGAAGAAGAAGAACTTGAGAAAGGAATATTCAGGGTGCTGTTCCTGGTGTTAATCGCACCTAGGGACATGTCACAACTCTCCCTGTTTTGACTGTCACTCTCTCTTCTAATATGGACACTTTCATGGGTTGGGGGACAATTATAGTCAATTGCAGAGGATGGACCACACTGTGTGTTCCTCTGATGTTCTGAGAGTGATCTCTGGCTTCCAAGGACCTGATCACCAAGGTGAGGGGCAAGTAAACTCTGCATGAAACTCTGGTGGCATGTGTTCTCACTGTCCCTTGGTGGGATGGCATTTCCTGTCGGAATACTCTGAACTGGTGGATAAGATAATCTCTTTTGGCGGTCGATTGGTGGTGGACCAGGGTTTTGACTAATTCGAAAAGCCTGGGACTGCATACTCCTCAATGATGATACCGGGTTACCTATTTCACTATTTCTTGAAGACTGTACTTCAAAATTACTCTGGGGCTGCTGACTGGCTCCACTTGGTTTAAACGTCTGACAGTCAGTAAGGCGGATATCCGAGGCAACAGTATGGTCCACGCGACCCTGCATATTGTGAATGGCCAAACTCTTATTTCTGGGAACATCAAGATAGCTTCTCATTTCAAGCTGATCTGAAACTCTGGAACCCTGAAGTGACATGCCCATTCTCTGCTCTGAGTTAGAAGATGTCTTTCCAATAAGTGCCTCGGCAGAATAACTTGAAACTCTATTTCTCTCTGGCCTGTGTGGAGTACAGGGCATGTCTGAAGGCCTAGTCACGATACTGGGCTGGGACACCATTTGTTGCTCTATGCCCCTTGAAGTCAAAAGCCTCTGCAATGGATTATGCCCAGATACATGTTCAGAAGAAACCCCCGAACCTTGCTGCCTGCTTCCAACATCCTGTTGCTGGTGTATCATATCTTGACTGAGATGGTTCTGGGGATGGTTGTGGTGGCTCCGGCTGGTCGAAGGGTTTTCACAACTCTTCTCTGGCTGGGAACTTCCAAAATGTTGCTGCATCTGTTGCTGCATCTGCTGATGGTGGGGATGTGGCTGACCACTCTTGGGGCGGGACTGGTCAGTTCCGTGGTGCTTTGGTTGTAAGGAAAGCTGAGAGGCCTGAGTGCCCTGAACGAGATTCCTCTTTTTCTGCATCTGGACTTCCTGCTGGAGAGTTCTCTGTTGGTGGACGTTATGTGGCTGAGAGTGGACAGAGCTCTCTGCATGAGGCGCGTGACGCTGCAGTTGGTACAAGTGATGCCTCTCTCTTAACTGTCCTGCTTGCTGCTGCTGCTGCTGCTGCTGCTGCTTTAAGTAGAGGTGGTTACCGTGCAGGTGAGATACCCCTTGGGCTGGAACATGCTGTTGCAGGGCCTGGAGATGTTGACTGGCCTGGGTTTGCTGCTGCTCGGTAACTGAATTCTGAGAACTGCATTGAACTTCCGTTTGTCTCAATGCAGGGGCCCCAAAATTGTTACTCGGTGGAAATAATCGTGCGAGGCCATCTCCATGTGCTGGGTTGCTAATAGGCACAACAGAGTTTGCAGAGTTGGGAGGGAGCTGACTGACCATCATCTGAGTCTGATCAGAAATGCTGTCCGGAGTGCGGTTCATCAGCGACATAGCTTCAAGCCTCAGCGGGGCTGGCTGACAGTGCTTTTGACGTTTAGCTGAAGACAATAAAAGGTCGTCTTGGACAGCACGCTTGGCGGAGTCTTTGCGGCTTTCCTGACTTGGCTTTAAGAGTGGCTCTTGAACCTGTGGATTTGGTATGGTGCCAGTAATGGTGTTTAGCTGTTCTTGGGAATATTCGGTCATCAGAGCTGGCCCGGGAGGCTGACCACCGTAGGAACTAGATGCAACAGTCAGATTAACCGTTGCCGGAACAGGTGCTTGCTCTGCGGTTTGGGATAGACCAGCACAGCTGACCAGAGGATGGCTGATGGTGCTCTGGTGGATAAGATTATTGACACTTAAACTGGTGATGCTTGGTGGCTGAGAAGTCGAAACCTGTAAAGAGGCATTTGACGTTTTGATTCCTACAGAACAACTTGGTTTTCCGAGGGATCGATCCACAGTTGCTTCGATTGAGTCCTGAGAATTAAATTCATTTGGTGTTGCTTCTGCCTGTCCCGGGCCACTCTCTTTAGACATCTGTGTTTTGAAAGGCTGGTCTCCCTCTAAAGGTGAGGCTTCAGAAGGCTTTGAAGTAACCTCCCTCATATCAGCCTGGGTGCCAGCTCTTCCCTTCTCAAGGTTCTCCTGGTCAAAAATAGCTCTTGCAGCAAGAGCAACTATATCAGTTTGCTCTACAAAGGTACAGCTGTCACAGGTATTCGTTGTTGCATTGCTGGTGACATCCTCTCTCGTCGTTTCAGGAAGCATGGATGCAACTGAGAAACTACGACTACTGCCAGAGCTGGTGGACATGGGAGAGTCGGCCTGCCTGCTGACAAGCAAAGAGCCATTAATAACCTCCTGATCAGGGACGCAGGAGTGGTGTTGCCCCGGACCTCTGTCATCACTGTTCATCAGTAACAGCTCCTGTTTGGGATGTAAATCGACACTTGAATCCGCCATTTTAGAATTTTCAGAAGGAAAGTCAGGATGGTCCACCGGCACCGAAAGAGACAACTTCTGAGAGTCTTTTTCTTTAGCAAGACCAGACAGCAATGCAGTCAAACCCTGCCCCTTTAACAGACCTGTCGTTTGCATCGTAACTGATGAGTCTTGCTCCACCCTGCAAGGTTCAGCAATGATTTCTACCTCAGAAGCACAGTCAGTGCTTGTAGTGCTAGTGGTGGATGAGAGCCCAGAAACCTGAGAAACCAAAAGGTGGGGATCATTTGGAGTTGGAATCAACACGCTGGCTGAAGTGCAGGATTTGGCAGCATCTGACAATGCCAAACTAGCTGGTGGCTTATCCTGAGATGCCTCTTGCTGCAGAATGGGGGCAGAATCTTTGGATTTTGCTGGGGCCATTACAAAATGTTCACTCGTTACAGATGCTTGGGAGGGTGAGCTAGACTCTTCTGTTGACTTAGATTTGGGTACAGATTCGGGTATCACGGATTCAGGATTTAGAACATCCAAAGAATGTGAACCAGAAACACTCACACAATTTGCCTGGGATATGGTGACAGACGGTAACACGACAGGGAGGCTTTCCAGCAGTCCATCACCACATGACGGCTCTGCTGTGGCTTCAGTGCCAGGGCAGGCTAACTTGCCCACCTCTCTGACTGGATTCGGGGGACATGCGGACTTGTGAGCTGCTAAGTGTTTCTTGGCACCTGGCTTCTTAAACCTTTTTGACTTCACATTAGGTAAACAAGCTACAGTGTTCACTGAGGGTGTAGTTACCAGACTATAAGTACTGGGTAGTGTGGCTGAATTATCGGTTGTCATGGGAGATGCTACCGTTGTTGTTAATGAAACACTGTGAACTGGGATGGTTTGACTACTTGCGGCAGTTGGGGGATTGGCAGGCTGGCTAATAGACAACTGTACACAGCTCTGCCCAGCCATCTGTGATATGCTTTGATTGAGGCTGGCCAAAGCTCCAAATGTATTCAGGGCAACATTGGTGTTTGGATCTTCGCTGGTGGTGGGTTGGATAATTTGCATAGGGGTTTGATTTGTAGTTCCTGATGAGGACATCACAGGCTGCAAAGCAAAGAGCTGTCCATTTAAAGAAATGGTTTGAGGCTGTTGTTGGTTTGACATGGTAACAGAAAAAGTTTGTGTTGAACTAGATGTTGATAGAGATGAAGGTCTTGGTAATATATGGACAAGATGCTTTCCTCCAAAAGTCTGGGGGGTCGAAACATTTTGCACTGAACTATTAGACCCTAGTAGAGCATTGGCTCCACTGACAGGGAGTCGAACAGAACCAGGAGGTGGAGCTGAGAGGAGCGGCAAAGGGTTCTGATTAGCTGCCTGTATGATCACTATCTGCTGACCTACTGTTTGGTTGGGAACCTCTGCTCTCATCACTGTTGGGCAAGGGGTGGTGCTGGGGGGCTGAAGAATGATAACATTTTGATTAGCTGTAGCTGCATTCACAGCCGACCCAACTGGCTGAGCCATCTGAATCACTTGCATTGCTGAATTCAATGGAAGGATACTTTTTGGAGGCTGAGATTTAACTTGTGGTTGGGCAATTAGTGGCTGCATAGGTAAAGATGGACAAGAAGGCAAGGTGACAACTACTTGCTCAACCACCTGCCCGTCTGCGGGAAAGGAATTATTCACGTTGACGCCCGTAGCGACGTGTCTACTGTGGCTGGTTGTGGGAGGGCTGCTACCAGACTCATTTAATACCGGAGTCACTGCAGAAGAAGGGGTCTGGCTTAAGGGCTGAATAGTGTTTCCCGCCAGTTGCAAAGTAGTCCACGTCGTCTGTGTGTTTCCAGCAGAGGAAATTCGGGTAAGGCTATTAATGTTTTTCAAATCCGACGCACTAACACTGGAAGAAGGCAAAGAACAAGAAAGAGTCCAACTATTGTCCAAAGGGTTTGCAGAAAGAGTGCTTACAGGAGTGGTGGTCTTCCCTCCTGCAGGGGCAGAAGGGGCCACCGCTGCGGTAACACTCGCCGAGTCTGCACCCTTGCTGATGCTCACTGGACAAGCATCACCTGCAGATCTGGGAGGCTGGGAACAGACTGTGGTGGTAACTGAGACAACAAAGGTGGTTTGAAAATCATTTCTGAAATCCTGGATGCTCAGGCAGGACTGGCTTCCATGGTGCACTTTAGTGGCAGTCGCTGAGGAAGTGGTGGGGACGCCTGTGGCACAAGGGACTGTCTTCTTCAATAATTTGGGGCTCTCTTGCCCATTCTTATTTTCAGGAGAACTTTGATCACTTAGACACGTGTGCACGGAACGATGTTGGTGAGGTTCAGGCCCAATGGGAACTGCGATCAGTGGGCCGTTGGTGGCACCAAGCACGCTCGATTCGCTTTCGGAGGTGGAAAGCTCGAGAATATTTTGAGCAGGAATGGTAGCAGGAAGACAAAGAGGAACAGGCTGGTTGGCAGCCAATGCAGAAACTGTGGTCTGATGCCATGGCTTGTTTTCAGAAGGGTAAACTCCAGAAATAGACACAGGAGTCACAAGATTGCAAGTCCTCTGTACTGGCACCACATTGGCGGTCTGCTTTTGTAAATTATGACCAACATTAAAGGTTATCCCCTGAACAGCTGTTCCCTGGCTATTTCCACAAGGCTGACTCCCGTTGGAATAAACAATGATATTTTTTTGAACCTGATCACTGGGAATAACAACAGAGACCTTTGAGTTTTTAAGATTTCCTTTCCAGTGGATTGTAGGGTCATCATATAGGCATATGTCATTTGCTTTCAGTAATTCAATATATCGGCCATTTTCTTTTTGAATTTCTTCCAATTGTTTACGTAGCTTTTTAATTTCTTCAGCTACAATATTAAAAATAAAAATGAAACAATTACCTGGTAGTGTCAGTACTTACAGTAACTTACGAAAACACTGTGTGCTAACTACCAAAGTCTAATTCTAGCATTTCAAAATACCTCATCTGAGAATCTTCAGTTCTTTTCTAATGCAAGTTCTTTCTCCTTTTTACATTGGTGTAACAAGCCTCTATCCTATCCTTTTAAAAATAAATATCTTTAAAAGTAAGGTCAGAAATTACCCATAATGTAGAAATCTCAAAATTCCCAATTCAAAAATTCCCAATGGGGCAGCTACCAAGGTAAAAGAAGGGAAGGCACACTGATATCATGGTCACATGCTAGGAAAATAACACTGAATATCAATATAATAGCATTTACATGCTTTAACAGCTAACATTACTTGTGGTGGTAATAGTCAGTCTCTTTTATAAATGGCTTTAAACTCACTTCTATTTTACTCTTTGAAATGCCAGAGACAGTGAAACAGGTTGAAGGTAAAGTAGTAGAGCACCAAAGAAAGCATCAATAACGGAACTTCAATCTCCCTTGACAGGGCCAATGGACATATGCGACTGTCACAGCCCTACTCTTTTCTAAGGGAGAGAACTTCATCCATGGATGCTACTACTGGGGCAGCCTTCGCTGTTGGTATTTATTCTCTGTGACCCCAGACATCCCACCTGTCTTGCCACAGTGGTAGATCTCTCCCCTCCCCATCCACCAAAGGCAGCCAATCTTCAAAGCCAATGCCCTGTGAAGTGGCCTGAAATAAAAAGTTCTGTTCTGAAAAGGATGAGCTGAGACTAATGGATTCTTTTCCTCAGACATTTAAAATAAGAGACACAGAAGAATGATGCCAATGTGCCATGGGCATCAGAAGTTAAGGGACAATTTTTATGGACCAAATAATAATGATGATTGTCCTCACTTATTACACACTTACTACATGCCTGGCACTTTTCATTCATTGTCTCATTTCATAATAATAACAACAATGATGATGGTAATTACTATATGCCAACTTTACTCAAAGTACTTTACCTGCATTATTTCTTTTAATCCTCATAACAACCATGAGATGGGAACTACCTACTCTCATCAGTATTTTAAGATGTGAGAAACAGACTCAGAGTAATTACATAAATTTGTCTAAAGTCAACCAGACACGTGCTGTGATTATCTTCATTTTAAGATGGGGAAACTGAGATCGGAGAGGTGAAGTAAATAGCCACAGGTACTGAGTGCGTAAGTGAAGATGAAACTCAACCCAGGTGGGCCTGATTCCCAAGGCCGCTGGGAATCAGGCTCAGACTATGGCCCAGCCTGTCTTATGGACAGAGGATATGTGGGAAGTTTCTGGGAGGAGAAAAGAGAAGAGAGCAGATGCACAAAAAAGAGCCAAAGAAAGGATGGTGACAGAGATGACAATGTAGTGAGACTTAAGCTGCCTCAGGTGCTGCCCCAAGCCCCGGCCTACCTGTTCAGCCTTTCCTGAGCCCTATGCAACTTATATTTTTCCAAAACATTCCCTTTTCCCTAATGTAACTCAACTGCCTCAGCCTCTGGGGTGTGAAACCAAAGAAGCTCTACTTAGAAAAGTCTACACATCATTCCAGTCTTAATATCTCTTCTATGGGATGCCTCAGAGTGCTTACCAAACATGTATGACGAATCTAACTACCTAACAGCATCATAAAACAGGGCCTGGACTGTAAAAGACAGCTGACGTGGGGGAGGGGGTAAGCTGTCATCTAACTTAAGGCAAGCAAAGAGAATTCAGAATGCTGACCTTCTGGATATACAATAAAAGTAGCCCAACACTGCCCCCACCTCAGCAAATTCTACCTTTGTTCCTCTCCTTTTAAGGTGACCTACTGAGTTGTCCCAGGAAATTCTTTCTCTGTTTTTGTCAGAGCCATAAATAAAGGACAATTCAAACTGCCTACCATTCTGAGCTTTTCACTTGCCTGGCATTTTTCTTTTCAGCTCTTACAAGGAAATCTCTCTAGTGCAAATGGAAAAACAGAACTTATATAGCATAAAAATGTCACTTCTAATTAAAAATCAAATTTCAGTATACCTGAAACTAATATAACATTATGTATTAACTGTACTAGAATTAAAATAAAAACTTATTTTTTAATGTAATTATCTAAAGAATAATAATAAAAATCAAATTTCATTAAATGATCAGGCAGTCTGATACACACATTACATGCAATATAAACAATTATGAACGGAATGTTTTGACCTTTTGAGTTAAGTCACAGTTAAATCTTGGCCCAGGCAGGTCTTTGTTTTGTTTTTAAGTTACACTGAGCAGGACTCTCCCCTATATCCTCTTACGGGATTCCCCTAGCTGGAAGATCCAAGTGGAATAAAAGCGACCCAGCATTATTTGTCTCATGAGCTCAGCAAATATGAAGTGCACGGAAGAGTCCAAAGTCAAAATTATGTATGCCTGCAAGATTAGAGTTGCTCACAGAAGAGGGAAAAGAGGTAAACTAAGATGAATTTATTTGCAACACTATTCTCTGGCCCACCGAATGCATGGACAATCTTAACAATGTTTCTGGTCAAAAAAAGTCTCTGTATCCTCATATAAGTTGCCCTGTGACACGAAGACCTGAACACTGAAAAAACAACAAAAATGAAGAATCTTCAAATCTTTACCTTGTTCATTGTTTCCTCCATTAAGCAGGAGTTCATCATTTTGCCTTTTCAGTTCTGTTATATATTTAAAGGCTTGGTCCAGGATCATATTCTTGCTCTGCCAAAGAGAATTAACCACTTAAAAGTTTCACTGAAGAGTAAGAACTTGCCAGAAGAAACGTAAAGCTTTGGTTTTATCACATATATGTGATATGTGTCTTTTCAAAATTTAAAATGGGCACCATATTCAAATGCTTCTGCTGTTCATTTTTCATTTACTAAGTATTTAAATTTGAACAGCCACTATGCGTCAGGCTCTGTTCTAGGCACTGGGGATGCAATAAACAAAACGGAGAAAATTCCTGACCTTCAGGAGTATTTTCCATACATACAGTTGGGTACAGCTAAGTGCTAGGAAGAGAAAATAAAACAGAGTAAATAGGGGCCCAGAGAGATGGCAAAGGTCACTCTGTCCTATGAACTGAATGTTTGTGTCCCCCTATAATTCATGTTGAAACCCTGATCCCTGATATGATGGTAGTTGGAGGTGGGCCTCTGGGAGGTAATTAGGTCATGAGCGTGTATCCCTCATGAATGACATCAGTGCCCTTAGAAGAAAAGACATGAGAGAGGTGACTGCACTCCCTGTCACACAAGGACATAATCAGGAAGAGCAGACACCAGGAACCAAACCAGCTGGCACCTCTGTCTTGGACTTCCCAGCCTCCAGAACCATGAGAAATAAATTTCTGTTGTTTAAATCACTCAGTCTATAGTATTTTTCTTATAGGAGCCCAAACTAAGGCACTGTACTGTAATCTATCTTGCATGGGAAGGCTGGAGAAGGCCTCTCTGTGAGGCAAAGCAAAAACCTGAAGGAAGTAAACCCCGTGGATATCTGGAGGAAGAGGGTCCAGGTAGCAGGATCTGCAAGGACAAGGCCCTTAGGCAGGGCTGTGTTGGCACATTGGAGGGGCCCTGGTGAGGTGAGCAGAACTAAAGTATATAGGGGAAGAGTGGGAGGGGAAGAGGCTGGAGAGGGCCTTCAAGGCCCTGTAAGGATTCTAGACTTTAATATTGTTTGTATCCTATGAACAATTGTTAAAAATAAAACATAAGTGACATTCTTTTTCACTTTAGCTCTCTATACCTTTTTCCAGAGGTAACAGTCATAGTTATTTGTGTATCCTCCCAGAAATATTCTATGCTGATACATGGATCTTTCTTTAAAAACAAACAAACAAACAAACAAAAAACAGATAGAAGGATACTATAAGCAGTATGCTACATTGTTGTTTTCTATTTACAAATATATCTTGGAGATACTTCCATATAGGGTTTAGATATCCATGTTATACTTTCTAAAGGCTGTATTTATTTTATTTTCCAGTATAGTATGATAACTATTTAACCAAGAGGCATTTTGGTTTCTTATTCTTCAGCTATTAAAAATATTGCAGTGAATGTTTAACTTCTATTCCAGTATGCTTATTATTAAATATCCCCAGTACTTTATCAGATAGTTCTTTTCAGGTAGGAATCAGGGATTTAGGGCTTTGGTTCACAAAATTGCAATTCTGGGCTTCTTAGACTGGGTCCCAACAGAGACCCAATATAATCTAGGAAACGTTTTACTCTAGAGAGAAAAAATAGTTATTGCCTTTTTGTAAAATTTCGTTTATTTAATTTTTTTTTTTTTTTAAAGAGAGCATGAGCAGGGGAGAGGGGCAGAAGTAGAGGGACAGAGAGTGAGAGGGAGAGAGAATCTTAAGCAGGCTCCATGCTCAGTGCAGAGCCCAACACAAGGCTCAATCCCATGACTCTGGGATCATGACCTAAATCTAAATCAAGAGTCAGACACGCAACCAACTGAGCGCCTACACGCCCTGATATTGTTCTTTCTTAAAGGAAGAATTGATACAAAGGCAGAACATAATAATGCCCATCTGCCTCCCTACTGCAGATGGGCTGAGGGAGGACACATAGAAATAGTGAAGAAAATCTTAATCTACTCGGCTTCCGGAAGCCAAATACTGACTTCCACCGCACATGCTAGGACACCAAGGAAGTGAAATGATCATAGTTTCCTTTCAGCGATACTTGTAGGAATGACCGTCAAAAGCAGGAAAATAAGATTTTCCTGGGCAAACATCAATATTTCCTGAGAAGCTACTGTACATTGAGATGTGGAGAAAAAAAAACAAAATCTGCAGACATAGAGCCTGCCCTTAAATTTGCGATCATGTAAGAAAACAAAGTACTTTAAGTAGATAGATAGATAGATAGATAGATAACAGGTTTATGCAAGACAAAAGTACCATCCTGCAGAAGGAACTGATCTGGCCATCTGAAAGCCTGGGGAGGTCCTGGAATGGGAAGCTCTCTAGCCACCACAAAAGGTAGGGTGAGGTATGGGATCAAAATTGAGGGGACTGGTGGAAAGACTCTTCTTACGCAGTAATAAAACTACCCTCCACCCTCAGCACACACACATATCCTATGCAGCTTCATGACTTCTCATTCCTGCCCAACCACAAGAGACAAGTTTGTTTTCTGTGAAATTTGAACCAGAGAATTTCAGCCTCGGAGATGCATGGCACAGAAGTGGACAAGATGAGACTCCTCAGTGAAGACAGGAGGGTAAAGTAAAATTCTCCTCCTAAAGCAGCACACCTTCCCCCACCCAGCTCCCAGAATATGGCAACCAGTTTTAAACTCCTTTCCACTCCTCGATCGGGGGCTGAAGGATTCTTCTCTGGAAGGTAAAAGTTAACGGCTACCCCCAAAATAAAAAGATACTGATATTTTTTAGTTCCACAAAAACAACAACACTAGCTTACCACCTCATCACTCAATAGTTAGGGCACCAAAAATCAACCTATTCAATCAGCTTTTAAATGTTAATGCCTCATTCTCAAATATGAAAACAGTTAAATATCATCAAGCATTTAAGGAAAGTCTCCAAAATGAAAAACAAAACCTCAAAACAAAGGGGGAAAAAAAATCAGAAGAAAGACAATATGGAAAACAGAAGAAAAATTATTTTATTTTATTTTATTTTTTTAATTTTTTTTTCAACATTTACTTATTTTTGGGACAGAGAGAGACAGAGCATGAACGGGGGAGGGGCAGAGAGAGAGGGAGACACAGAATTGGAAACAGGCTCCAGGCTCTGAGCCATCAGCCCAGAGTTCGACGCGGGGCTCGAACTCCCGGACCGCGAGATCGTGACCTGGCTGAAGTCGGACGCTTAACCGACTGCGCCACCCAGGCGCCCCAAAAAATTATTTTAAAAAACCTATATAACATTCTCAGAGATACGATGGTATTGTATTCATGAAACAAAATATGTGACATGAAAAAGGACAAAGAGAATAGGAAAAAGACTCTTGGAAATTAAAATCATGAGACCTGAAATTAAAAACAGAAGAGTTAGAGGGGTGCCTGGGTGGCTCAATTGGTTAAGCGTCCAACTCTTGATCTCAGCTCAGGTCTTGATCTCAGGGTCATGAGGTAGAGCCCTGCCCTGGGCTCTGCACTGGGTGTGAAGCCTACTTAAGAAAAGAAAGAAGAAAGAAAGAAGAAAGAAAGAAAGAAAGAAAGAAAGAAAGAAAGAAAGAAAGGAAGGAAGGAAGGAAGGAAGGAAGGAAGGAAGGAAGGAAGAGAAAGAAAGAAAGAAAGAAAGAAAGAAAGAAAGAAAGAAAGAACAGAAGAGTTGCAAAAGACCAACCAGTTGAGATTGAAGAAGGGCAGAGGGTTCCAGAAGGAAAGTTTCAAAGGAAAAAGGAGAAAATAGAAATTATGTGGTACACTTGACTATGTAGAAACTCTACTAAGGGACTGTTGAAAGTGTGGAAAGAAATAAAGATAGGTATATAGAGGGGCACATGGCTGGTTCGGTTAGTAGAGCATGCAACTCGATCTCAGGGTCATGACTTCCTACACTGGGTGTACAGCTTACATAAAAATAAAAAATAAAACATAAATTAAAAAAATCTAAAGTAAATAAATAAGTAAATAAAAAGATAGGTATATATAAATTGATAACAATGAGGCAATTACCAACCCTCCCCCAAAAAAGTTTCATATGAAACAAAACATAATAATACTAATCTTTGGCTCACCATAAACAATATTTACAGTCTTAATAACATAAGAACTGAATACTGATTTAATCAAAAGTTGTGGAATTATATTGGGAGGATTTAACAAGGGAAAGTCAATAGACAAAATCTAAAATAGAAAAAGTATGATACAATAATATACGCATATTATTTCAAAATATAAAGGTGAATGCCAAAAGAAACAGTAGAGAATGGATGCCTTTAAGTTGCTGTATTGGATGTGGGAGGCAGGCAAGCCAGAGACTAATGTTGTTTTAAGCTTTTTAGTACTATTTGTTATGTTTATATATTAACTTAACAATTAACCAAAAAAGGCTAACACGAATTATGATATCTCACTATCATGAAACACTATATAATCATTAAAAAGAAAGGAGATCATATGAAAAAAAGTCTACTATGTACGACTGAGTGAAAATGACAAGGCAGGTTATGAAACATTTTATGAATATATATATGAAACATATTTTACAAATATATATATACATATATATTCATAAAGCAATGTCCAAAGAAATGTGTAACAACGTTTGTAATAGTAGTTACAACCTAGGAGTAGGATGTCAACTTATTTTTCAAACTTTTTATGACTTCCATATTGTTTCCATTTTGTTTTGTTTTCAGTAAGCACACTTTATCCTCATTATCAGAAGAAACAAAAAGCTATCTTCATGAGAGAAAACTTTAATAAGCTGAGATTTAAGTGCCAGTGGAGGCTGACAGGGCACGGAGAGTAAAATAGAGATCCTTGGAAGATTCTAGGTAAGAATTTAAAGGTAATTGAAAAATATCATTGGCAGAAAATAAAAGAAATGCCTGGTAAGTACTGTAGCACGGAAATGAATGTAATCGTGGGACTGAATAATTCAAGATCTTAAAGATCTAGAAATTATATGGTCCACTTGATCATGTAGAATACTCTACTAGAAGACTGTTATCAGTATAGGAAAAATTAAAGATAGGTATATAGAAAATTAAGCAAATGAAAAACAATGAGGTGATGATTAACTCCAAAAACCAAAAGTGACAGGAAACAAAAATAAGCACTCTGAGCAATGAAACAACTTAGGGAATTATCTGTTCACAAGTAATGAATGAAAATAGGAGTAGACTTCTTACCTGCTTCAGGGCAGGAGAACATGGGATCAGCTCTCCTATCCTGTTTATTCCAGCATTGATTTTCTTCTTTCTATGCCTCTCCACTAGATAGGGGGAAAAATCCATTTATCAGACCTTATGGTACACTGCTATAGTTCACTATTCTCCCTGGGTAAAGAGATCTCTAACAAAATTTTATCAAACAGTATCTACTGAAGACAAATAACTACAAGACAATTTCTAAGAATGCTGCATTATAAGTCTAGCATTATGGGCACTGATATAAGCAATACTTTTATAAGCATTTTAAAAATGTGATCTATAATAATTAAACTCAAAAACAGAAAATGCTAATATTACTTTACTGTTAGGCCATTATTATGTTTCAAGTAATTACTGGACATTTTAGTGATAACTAAATTTTAAGAACCCCTACTAACAAGCTAAGTTAGTAGAAAGCTGCCTTTTTATAGCAAATAGGCAAATGAGACCTATTTAGACAGATTACAGAACCTTCAAACACCTTTTAGGATGTCTAGAAGGCATTTTTGAAATAGAACAGCTATCAGTTACAACTTAAAATTTCTAGGAGTCTGGTTTATTCACTCTGGGCACATAGGATTTTTCCCATAAGAAACTGGGCAACTGACAACATCTCAACCAAATTAACTGAGAAATCTTCCAGGCTTACATGCCACAACTTTAAAGATTATATGGAAAGGGCAAGAGGGAATGAGATGATCTAAATAATTTCAATAAGACACTGTAAGTAGAAATATTATTAGTCTTGGCTTTTACTGTCAGAAGGGTTTCTAAAACCTCCCTTCCTAACAAAAGATTCCAGTGATCTTTCAGATTAACCATAAGCAGCTCTTGTTTTGCAAAATCATACTTTTTCTTCACAGTCTAGCAGTAAAGACATATTTTCAATGACATCTAATTACTCTCTCATAATAAATTACTATCAGGACATATTTATGACACCATGTGAGTTGGTTCCAATAAAAATACTTAGTTCCTATGGCTAAAAAGATTAGATTTAATTCATTTGGCCAAAGAAGGGAAAACAATAAAGTATGATATCACCTTTTTTCTAAATTCTCTAATAACAGTATTTGTTATCACCCAGGAGTGGATTTTTTCATGTATGGAGGTAGAAAAAACCAACATTGAGACCCACAGTGATAAAGGGGAATTCAAAGGCAGGAAATTCTCATTCTGGAAAACAGCAATATTCCATCAGTGTTCACCCCATCTTCCCATAGACAAAAATTCCCCCAGGGTCCTTTCCTTAGGGAAAGGAAGAATATCAGTTATAGAGTAATAGACATTAACTTCTAAAATATTTTGTTTTCAATCTGACTGTAACCCCTGGAAAAGAAAGTGTTCTAAAATGTACCAAAATATAAATGTAGGCACAATCACTTCTATAAATGTTTATCTGGCTTTGGCCTATAATCTGGACGTTTGAGATAAAATCAAACATTTATTTTCTACATTTCTTGCTGTGACTGAGGACTCCACAACTTCATTTAAGACTGTTCACATTTCAGGGACTTTTAAGCTCCACAGCCTGCTGTTCATCTCTCCCCTGCTCCTCTGGGCAGCCAGCTCCCTCTGGAACTTCTGCAGACACATTCTCTTTATCCCATTTGGGAGAAGTAGAGCTCAATTTCCTCAGTGGGTGAAATCACTTAAAACACTAGTTCCAACGGCGTATTAGTCCTCGAGTTATCTAAATAGACAATGAATCAGAAGATGATAAACTAGCTATCTTCATGAGACTCAAGGGGTGTTTTGCCAATTAAACCATAAAGGAACAAACAAAGTAAAGGAACATTTTCCTAAAACATAAGGAATAATGATTCTATGCTTGTAACATAAAAACTTACAATCGACTACAGTATAATTTCCTTGTGAATGCAAAAATGCTAACAAATACAATTGAAATTGTTTCTACCTGCATTGTGTGTCTCCCGGTTTTTCTTTCTGAAACAAAAAGTGCAGATAAAAGGAACATGAAAATAACAGGAAAACATTTTCTCCACTTTATATGTTGAGAACCACAGAAATTTTATGAATTTGTATTTGTTGCATCAGTAAGAAACCATCTTATTATGGTATGAAAACCTAACTGCAGATACATCAGTATAAATTTAGAATCTACAATTTCCAAATTCTACAATTCTCTATTCATCTATACCCAAAAGTCAATGGTTGGGAAGTAAATCAATCATTGAAAACGTTAACTATTTGAAAAATGTAATAAAAGAGCTAGTCAACTCTCAAAGTGATGTACCAAGTAGGTGACTTCTGATGTCTGCCCTGGCACCTGGCAAGGGGTGCAGTGAGTGCGTCAGGGGTACAAGCAACAGTAGAATGGAACTTTTTAATCCGCGGGGGTGGGGAACCATGGCAGCCACCAGCACCAATGCACAGACAGTTGGCATTTGAGCCATCTTTTGCATCTGTGTGCCTTAGCTTATCCAAACTCTTAGTTTTTCTTAAAAGCTAATCTACTCAAACCATTGATTTCCCTTTTATGTACAATTACTCAATACATTAGCAATCCCTAACAGTTATTTGGTAAGGAAAGAGAATGGGGATTTTAATAGTAATGAAAGCACTGATCATGCAATTTTAAGCAGAAACACTGCCTAAAATGCTAGAAATTCAGAAGGGGGCTTATACAAAGAACCAGAAGTAATGTTGTACTGACGTGCATATTGTAATGTCACAAAATTGTAATGTCACAAAATGTCTATTCAAATTGACTTCGGCCTAAATGAACTTAACAATCTACAAAGACTGTGATACTGTGAGCAAGTAAAAGTTTCAGGAGAAACTAAACACTTAGGATAGATTTGGTATTATACAATTTTAATTGCTCATTGTCATTCCCGTTACACTGTCCATAAAATAAGGAGGACAGGTAAATTTTAACTATGTACTCCTTTCTGTAAACCTGTATTTATTTATTCACACATATTGCTGAAGAATAATGGTCTTCCAGGCATTTAATGAAAGTTCCCTGAGGACTGCCTATTTAACAAAGTGGGGACTAATTCTGTTCATCTCCCCAAACTATATTATTTCTGGACCAGGACTACATACCTGTGCTGCTTTTTTGTAGGAGTCTCATTCTCTGTCATTTCTGGCATGGTTACAGTGATAGGAACCTACACAGCATGGAAGAACACGCCAGAAAGTTCAAGTTATTCTAGTATGTTAGAGAAATTAATAGCACTTTGGTTTGAATACCAAAATGCTAAAAAAACAAAAGTGACACCATGAAAAAGCAATGGATTAGCTGCTGTGGATAGAAAAAGGTATAAGAAAACAGGACAAAAAATATTATAACTAGCAGGTGGAGAGCATGGTGAATGCCAAATGTGAGGTATCGCCAGAAAGTTCTTGAGAAGACTGGAGTAGAGAAAGATCATTATCAGGTTAGAAATCTAGAAAGGCTTAAAAAGGGGGTGTGGATTTGAGCAAGACCTGGAAAAACAGGTAAAACATACTTGAGTTGGGAGAGTATGTTCTTTGTTCATAATATTTAAAGTGTTCTACAAAATTTAAATGAGAACACTGGTTCTCCTCTCTGAATGCAGAAAAAACAAGTGACAAGAACACAAACATGTACACACAAACAGCCATACAAGGAATATTCCTTGTATGGAAGCAAGCTCATTCATTCATTCACTCACTTGCTATCCTTCTCTCAAACTGCTAGAAGTCTTACATCATCACTTGACACTCATTAATATCTGGGTAGAAGTCGGAAAATTCTACTTATATTTAAAATATCAGGAGGGGCGCCTGGGTGGCTCTGTCGGTTAAACGTCCGACTTTGTCTCAGGTCATGATCTCACGGTCCGTGAGTTCAAGTCCCGCATCGGGCTCTGTGCTGACAGCTCAGAGCCTGGAGCCTGCTTCAGATTCTGTGTCTCCCTCTCTCTCTGCCCCTCCCCTGCTCTTGCTCTGTTTCTGTCTCTCTCAAAAATAAATAAAGATTTAAAAAAATAAATAAATAAAATAAAATAAAATAAAATAAAATAAAATAAAATAAAATATCAGGATGCTGGGGCACCTGGGTGGCTCAGTTGCTTGGGCATCTGACTTCAGCTCAACTCATGATCTCATGATCTCATGATTCATGAGTTTGAGCCTCGCATCAGGATCTGCACTGACAGTGCGGAGCCTACATGTGGTTCTCTCTCTCTCCCTCTCTCTCTCTGCTCCTCCCCAGTTTATATGCACACACTGTCTCTCTCAAAATAAATAAACTTAAAAAAAATTAGGACACTAAAGAATATATATATATATATATATATATATATACACACACACACACACACACACACACACACACACACTATAGGGAAATATATTCATATGCCAAAAAAGCCTGAAAGCAAATACATGAAGATAAGAGTCATAGTTATGTAAGGCCAGCAACATTATAGGGGGTTTCTTTCTCTTCTCTGATCTTTAAAAATTTCATAATGAAAACTTTAATGCTTTTAAATCTCAGGGACTGATGGCCTGGCCTTTCAAAAGTGGTCTGTCCAACTGGGATACCTGTTGTGGTACACTGGAGTAGGTGCAAGTGCAGTTACCATTTTCTGTGTACGGAATCGGAAATCAGAAAGCGTGAGTTTAGGGGTGCCTGGGTGGCTCAGTAGGTTAAGCGTCCGACTTCGGCTCAGGTCATGATCTCATGGTTAGTGAGTTCAAGCCCCATGTCAGGATAAGTGCTGATGGCTCAGAGCCTGTAATCTGTTTCAGATTCTGTGTCTCCATCTCTCTCTGACCCTTCCCTACTCACACACGCTCTCTCTCAAAAATAAATAAACATTAAAAAAAAAGAAAGAAAGCATGAGTTTAAAATCTGGTTCTGCCAAACTGGTACAGCCACTCTGGAAAACAGTATGGAGGTTCCTCAAAAAATTAAAAGTAGAGCTACCCTACGACCCAGCAATGGCACTACTAGGTATTTATCCAAGGGATACAGGTATGCTGTTCTGAAGGGATACATGCACCCCAATGTTTATAGCAGTATTATCAACAATAGCCAAAGTATGGAAAGAGCCCAAATGTCCATCGATGGATGAATGGGTAAAGAAGATGTGGTATATATATACAATGGAGTATTACTCGGCAATCAAAAAGAATCAAATCTTGCCATTTGCAACTATGTAGATGGAACTAGAAGGTATTCGGCTAAGTGAAATTAGTCAGTCAGAGAAAGACAAATGTCATATGACTTCACTCATATGAGGACTTTAAGATACAAAACAGATGAACATAAGGGAAGGGAAATAAAAATACTATAAAAACAGGGAGGGGGACAAAATATAAGAGAGTCTTAAATATGGAGAACAAACAGAGGGTTACTGGAGGGGTTGTGGGAGGGGGGATGGGCTAAATGGGTAAGGGGCATTAAGGAATCTACTCCTGAAATCATTGTTGCACTATATGCTAACTTGGATGTAAATTTAAAAAAATAAATTTTAAAAAACAAATAAACATTTGAAAATTTAAAAAAACAGATACAGAAATAAATAAAATGAAATAAAATAAAATAAAATAAATAAAATAAAATAAAATAAAATAAAATAAAATAAAATAAAATAAAATAAAATCTGGTTCTGCCATTTCCTAGCTGTGAGGTCCTGGGCAAGACATATAACCTCTTGGAACCTCAGATGTTTCATCTACAAAATGGATCAAAATCATAGCATCTGGACCATTGGGTTGTTTTGAGAAGGGAATGACAAATGCAGGGGAGCAGAGCAGCACGGTGCCTAGCAGCAAAAAGAATTCAACAAATGTTAGCTATGAATAATAATGAAGGCATTTCAGACTGGGCTCTAGCCCTGTAAAGGTGGAGGAAGGGTCCTGGGGAATGAGTAGAAGTAAATGCAGACAAGGTAATGACAGGAAGTACTGACTGAAGCAGCCTGAGGAGAAATGTGCACTCAAGTCCCACTTCCAGCAGCTTACTCTCCCTTACATGTGTGATGGTATACATCAGCCTAAAAGCAACAAACTCACATCAGGTTACTACATAATGACAATGCGGGACATGTGAGTAAATAAGTCCTTGTCACCTTTATCACCCAAGGGCTTGCAGAAGTTCTTCACTTTTGATTCCTGGCTTCCAGCGCCTCCCGTTTCTGATCCAAATCTATCATCTTCTGCCAGAAGATGGTCTATAAGTTATGTTTTCTTCTTACTACACAAGAGAAAAATCAATGAATGTTTACAGTGGCTAGGTTTCCATTAGCATGTAAAACAACTGGCAACTTAGGGCATGCAGGCAGATTTTTGGTGGCAAACAGAATGATCCGAAAGCTAATGAATGTAGTTGCTTTAAAAAGTCACTCTCCAATAGGCGGCTCATGCTCCACTCCCACAAAAATGGTAGCAAGTACTGTAGTCATTGGACAGATCCCAGGAGATTCTCTCCTTTCTCTTAGGCATGCTCACTGTCCCTCAAGTTCTTATTGTCCTCCACCTATGTCTTACACTAAGGTCTGTCCTCAATTCTAAAATTATCTTCCTTCAATCTCCCACTTCCCTCTTCTCACTTGTGAGAGTGACAAAATTTACTCAAGGATCTTCCACGAAGGCAGCGACACTAGGATGACAGCCTTCAGAACTGTGCATTGTATATACTCCAGAAAATGCAGATTTGGGGGCACCTGGCTCAGTTGGTTAAGTGTCTGATTTTGGCTCAGGTCATGATCTTGCAGTTTATGAATTTGAGACCCGTATCGGGATTGCTGCTGTCAGCAAAGGGCCTGCTTCAGATCCTCTGTCCCCTCTTCCTGCCCCTCCCTGGCTTACGCTCTCTCAAAAAAAATAAATACAAACATTACAAAAAATGTAAATTTGGGGGCTTCATCCCAGACAAATGAAAAGTACTGGGTAGGGCCCAGGAATCTGTATTTTCAACAAGATAATAGTTAAAAAACAGGAATTGTCAGCCCACTGTCAGCCTGACCCTGAATCAGTCTCTAAGGGAGGAATCCCAATCTTTAAGGGAGGAGTCTGAAATTTAGAATGCCCCCAGGGGATTGTTATCTGGAAAATTTAGAAACACAGGCAGGTATCTTTAGTTGGTGGAATTTCAGGCATCTGACCAACACCCTACTGGAGGAGAGATTATTTGGGATAGGGCATGACAGGTGAACACATAATTTCACCTATAAACCCATAAGGTCAGATTTCCCTTGTGCCCGTGAGTCAGCATTTGGTCATTAACATTACAGTTTCAGTTTTGAAACTGTAAAACTTGTAAGCACTTTTGAAAGTTTGCAGATTCATGTTACAAGTAAGATACATGACGTTAAAGTTCTAAACTTCTGAACATCTAGAATCTTAAAGTAAATGATACTAGAGGTCTACCACATAAGTAAACATACTCATCGCATGGGGGTGAGACGCAAGAGTTTAACTGAAAGAGGTACATCACCCAGTTTACCAAACATCACTGTAAATATCCATCTCAAACCACATTTTAACAAATTCAATTACATCTATCAGTGTATAATTGTTTCCATATGCTATTCCTCCTGATATTAAGCTTGCATTCCTCACATTAAAAAAGAACACTTATTAAAACAAAGAATACTTATTGAAATAATGAACTATATAATGTCATAAACGCTTGTCCACTGACTCATTAACCTACTAATAAGGAAATGTTACTTTTAATACAATATTTAATTTTTAAAGAAAAAATTCAAAATGTTACATTAATAATCTATGAATCACTATATTTTACGGTAAGAAAGAATTATTTCTGAAATTAGTCAAATCCAATGGTTCTCAAAGTATACTTTTGAGATCACTTGTATCAAAATCACAACTTTTAAAACTGCTTTTTCCTCTTGCAGTAAAGCTTATGTATAGTAAAATGCACAAATCTTAAGTGTAAAATTCAGTGAGTTCTGACTAATGCACATACCTGTGTGACCCAATCCCTATCAAGGTACAGAACATTATTATTACCAGAAAAAGTTCTCTCACGACCCTTCCTAGTCAATACCTTCCCCTTCTCCCACAGAGGCAACCAGTGTTCTCATTTTTTTCTCTACTGAACTTTACAATGCATTAACTGAGAATTCTGTTTTGTCAACCTTTCACTCAGCATATTTCTGAAATTCATCCAGTAGTTTGTTCCTTTTTATTGCTGAGTATGAATGTATAACTGGGTGTCAGTTTATAACATAGCTTGTTTATTTTCCGTTGATGAACACCTGTTCCTGTGTTTTGGTGACCAGGAAGAAAAGCTGCTCTCCATGAATATTCTTGTGCAACATTTTTCATGGGTATAGTCTTTCTTTCTGTTGAGTAAATACCCAGGAGTAGAAATGCTTATTATATTCCCTGCAGTTCCACTCCCAAGTATCTACCCAAGAGAAATAAAAAAAAGTATATCCACAAGAAGACTTATGTAAGAACATTTGTCACACTTTCCCCAGAGTGACAGTACCATTTTGCATTCCCATCCAAAATGTAAGAGTTCTGGTTGTTCAATATCCTACTAACACTGGGTTTTGTCTGCTTATCAATTTCAACTATTCTGGTGGTTAAATAGTGGAATCTCATTATAGTTTAATTTTCATTTCCTAGATGATTGATAACATTGAATAAATTTTTATGTGCATATGAAGACCATCTGTAGGGGGCCCCTAGGTGGCTCAGTCAGTTAAGCATCCGACTTTGGCTCAGGGCATGATCTCACAGTTTGTGAGTTCCAGCTCTGCATCTGGCTCTGTGCTGACAGCTCAGAGCCTGGAGCCTGCTTGAGTTCTGCATTTCCCTCTCTTTGTGCCCCTCCCCCACCTCTGCTCACTCACTCTCTCTCTCTCTCAAAAATAAATAAACATTGAAGAAAATTTAAGACCATTTGTAGATCTTGTTTTGTCTGCTCATATCTTTTTGCCAGTTTTTTTTTTTAATGTTTATTTATTTTTGAGAGAGAGAGAAAGGGAGAGACAGCATGAGCAGGGGAGGGGCAGAGAGAGAGGGAGACACACAATCAGAAGCAGGCCCCAGGCTCTGAGCTGTCAGCAGAGCCTGATGCAGGGCTTACACCCACAAACTGTGATATCAGGACCTGTGCTGAAGCCGGACACTTAACCGACTAAGCTACCCAGGTGCCCTATCTTTTTGCCAGTTTTTTAATTGGATTGTTTATTGTAGGGGACAAGCTTAGGAATCCTCCGGGCTTACACCAAATGGATTAACAAGGCATAAAGAAATACAAAGTCATAAAATGCTTACACCGGAGTTTGGGTAAACCAGATTGGCACTCCAAGAATAGGGGGGTGCAACGATACCCCGAGAATAGGGAGGCACAAAGGTGCCAGGATTAGGGAGGTGTGAAGGCACCCCAAAATACAGAGGGGGTGCAGAACCTCCCAAAATAGAGAGAGGCAAAGGCCTGAAATAGAAATGGCACAAAGGTGCCCAATACATAGGTATATGAAAATAAACATTAGATGTACAAGGTGGAAACACTCCCAATTTAGTACTGTAACAGAAAAGCGGCTTTCACAGGAGAATAGGGCCAGGTTAGGTAAATTGATTGGTGAATTGGACTATGGACCTCTGTGCTGCTGGCAAAGCAGCCCAGAGCGGAGATGGTGAACAAAAGAAAAGGTGCCTTATTAGCCCTGTGGTTATTCCCCCTATCTGTCTCATCCCCTAGGCTAGCTAAGATAAATAGGCACGGTGCCTTCGGTCTGCTGTTAACAACCATCTATCCATCTGCCTGGCGCCGGGAGTTTTATATTGACCCAAACCCCGAACACTGTATATCTTCAAAACCCCCCTTTTCCTTCACGTCCCCAAGTTAATGTTCCTAGTTTGTCTCTTTGTACATGCCCATCACGTTTGCAAGCCTTCTGACCTGAATAAATACGAGGCAAGGACCCTTATTCAGGGCTCTTGTCTTTTCCCGGACATTAGCCGTCTCTCACTTTAATCCTGTGTCCCCTCTTTTGCTGGCCAAAAGAGAACTTTAGACTTAAGAGTTTACAACAGTTTGTCCTTTTATGATTAACTTACAGAAAATCTTCATATATCCTGAGTTACTTATATCTTCTGCATACTTGTCATTTGTCTGAAACATATTTTGCAAATATTGTCTCCCACTATGTGGCCTACCTATGCCTTGTCTTAACTGTGCCTTTTGGTAAGCAATAGTTCTTGATGAAGTATAACTTAGCAATTTTTAATTTATGATTATTTCTTTTTGTGGCCTGTCCAAGAAACCTTTACTTATTCCCAAGATATTCTACTATGATTGTTTCTACAAAGTTTATGATATTGGCATATTTAGATCAATGATCTGTATGGCAGGAGGTAGGGGGGTTAAAGTTCATTTTTTTCCCATATGGATATTTAGTTGTTCCAACATCATTTGTTGAAAACATTTCCTTTCTTCAGTGGTACCTTTGTTAAAAATCAAATGTCCATATTAGTGCAGTTCCATTTCCAGGCTCTCTGTTCTGTTGCTCTCTCTTCTGAGCTATCCTTATGTTATGACCACATATACTGACTAAGCATACGTTTAAAATATTGATTCCTACGCACTACACCAGACCTACTGAATCAGAATCTTAGGAAAGACAAGTCCAGAAATACAAGCTTCCTAGTTGATTTTTCTGTAGCCTAAAGTCTGAGAAGTGCATTATTTTAACACTGTTCTCCCTCTAAAACTACTAAAAATCAGTGAGCTCACAACCAATGAGGCCACCTGGAAAGAACAGTGAACTTGGAATTGGGAAAATGAGCTCCAATTCTAGATTTGCTACTGAAAAGCTAGGCATCATTTTACTTATCACAGCTTAGGGCCCAAGTTTCTTCACATGTAAAACAAGAGGACAGGACTAGACTCAATCATTCAGGTATAGACCAAGTGCCCCCACTGCCTAGGAATTACAGATACAAAGATGGAAAAGGCAAGTCTTCTCTCAAGAAGAACACAGTCTAGGTCAGGGCTATCCAAAAGAATGTTGTGCAATGCAGATATTCTATACCTGCATTGTCCATATGGTCGCCATTAGTCACATGTGTATCTTAAATGCTTGAAATGTGGCTAGTGAGACCACCAAACTTTTAATTTTATGTAATTTTAAGTAATTTAAATAGTTACATGAGGCTAGTGATTACCATATTGGGCAACACAGATAATTAAAAAATTGAAAAGAAGATGAATTT